AAAAGTGAAAGATGATCCAAATTTCTATATTCGTTTGTTTCAATGATTGAAGCAAATCTCTCATTTATGATCACATATGTTGCAAATGTTCAAATAGAAATGTGTTTGTTTGGCTTTCCAGTAGGGATTTAGTCAAAATCTTCCTTTCGGACGATTTCCATTTTTATTCAGTAAATTTCCTGAATCTAACACATCTTAATCGAATGACATTATGATATCCAATACTGCCAAGCTATACCTGTGTGCGTTGGAAAAAGTTATGCCACGCCACTGTCATGCCAGAATCACGCTCCTGCCATGTTTCAAAGCTACGGTAGGCGCTCCCGCGAAGGATTCAACCTCTTTCATAATAAATTCTTTTGCCACAATGATGTATGTATTTCTAACCATCTGCTTCTGGAAATGATCGCACTGCAACAATTGCAATTCTCTCGAAACAGCTGCCGCTATTATTATGTTGACGCATAAGATTATGCTGTTGCTTTTGTAGTACCTTGCTAACTCCGTAAGTTGTGCGCTTCCTGCACTTTTCTTATTCAGTTGACTTATAATTAGTAAAAATGCTCACGTGCTTGCACAAGGGATTTGTTTACACCAAGTAATGCTTCTGAAATACCATCGTGAAGGTATTGCAGAACATCGTTTACCAACCTTCTTAGCACGATTAACAGTTGCCTTTTCTCGAATCTGTACTACGCGCTTCCTAAGGGCACTTTATCTTATTGAATGCACAACGATTTCATTTCAAATAGTTGGAAGTCTTCCAGAAACTTATTTTCGGTTTTGCATGATTTTCATGGAATTGTTTATTCAATAGATCAATGTATCATTAAATATTTCTCGACAATTTCCGTTAAATTTTTCTTCTTTTGTCTATTCTTCTAAGGGCTAGTTAGATACATATTAGAAGCAGAAATAGGAGTTAATAGGAATAGTGGTAGACATAGATTGGATCACATACTACTGTAAAATATTTACTCTAGTTTTAGGTAAAGATTAGTTCAAGAGAGAAAAGAGTGGAGGTGCGTGTCTAGCCAGCCTTAGGACTGACGATGCTATGACAATGATGATGTCCATTCGTCTTCAAATAAAAATATTTCCGTATCAAATCCAGTCTCATTTGAGGACCAGCGTAAGGTAGTTTCATTCTCAGTTGTATCATCATTTCGCTGTAGAATATTTTGATTATCTTCCAATTTTCACCAGAAAATTGTCTTCTTATTGATTATTTTTAACACCACACCAATTGTAACGAGTTTTCTTGTCATGTATATTTATTTGTATATGTAGGCATATAAGCAATTTATTTAACACAGAAAAATTATCCAATAGTGTTTTGCTAGTTTTGTCCGATTTATGATTTAGCTTTTGCAGATACTCGGGCAAATTAATAATCTTGTCGCAAAAACCAGCTTATTTAAATCATTCCATCGTTCGAAATCACTAATCCATTTCTCACTCATCTTTTCTATCAAATGGTTTAGTGCTATCTGCAACTCCAAATAGCAAAGCTAAAGATTCCGATTTTCTAACTTTGTTTTTGTTGAACTTCAACTTTTTTTTAATCTTTTCGTCATCATTTTCCTATCTGCTGATATTTGTTATTCTCCATCTGCATCTTCATATACTCAAGAAAAAATGCATTTGACCGCTGCTGTTGTTCCGAAGTAATCCAAGTCAACAAAATTACGTGTGGAAATTAAATCGGGTATTTCTAAAGTATATTTAACCTCGTACACTTGAAAAAATTTTTTGTAATTAAAAATAATATCTATGGTGAGTGATTAAGTAAAAATTCAAGTAGTTACATATTTGCTAATCGTCTTTCATTCGTTCTGTGGCTACTACGGCTTCTCCTTTTAGGTATATTGAAACTGTCATGTTGTTTTACCTTGTCACTTACCTTAGTCTGTACAATTTGAACGTAACTGGATATATACACACACAAGATATGCCAAAAGTGGCGAAAACGTTTCAAATTTATGCAGGTTACCTAAGAAATTAAATTTCATTTTTCAAGAAGTTCTGTTGTTTTTGGGTAATTTCGACTTCTCAATTCTTAGCATAATTTAATTTTAAATGTAAAATTCAGTTTTTGAGTGATTTTGGGGTCTCCCATACGTACTGAAAATGTTAATCGCTATATAGTTATGGAACAGCATATACTGATGGAGAAATTGTATAATCGACTATCCAAAAATATTCAGAATAATTCCTTCCACAAGACAGCAGCGATGTTTTGCGTATCAGTGTTGTAGATGTTTGTTCATAAAAATAGTCGAAGCGATATACGTAGATAACACCGAATTTCATCCTCAATCTGGTGTTGTCCGTTATATTGGTCGATAATTTTATCAACCCTGTCAATATATCATACATTTGATATAAATGTAATAGAATCTTGTATCCCTCTACGGTCGGTGAATGCTTTCCTTTCAGTGTATGTGCAAACGTAACTGCTTATTGATTTGCCATTTATGCAGTCTAGCAATACACATTTGCACTAAAAATACAGTATATCACGTCCCATGCACTGCCGTTTCTCAGGAACAGTGGTTACAGAAATTTACAATGTGATAAAAAAAAACAATGAACAAAATAATTCAATTTTACGGGCTTGTATATTCAAAGGAATGTTTAATAGGTACAGAACGAAATTACTTACCTTTCCAAAGCAGATTATTCCAACACATTTTTATCAAGAAATCAACTACTTTCATGTATTTAATAGAACGAATAAAAAACTATCCAATTTCATGTCAATAAATTTCTATGAATTCTTTATAATAGACAATGCTGTGTTACTTTTTCGTACAACTGCTTAAAGAAGGCGACCTCCTCTTAGACTTATTTCTTATTGTAATGTTGTTTATGATATTAATTAGGTATTAAAATCACTGTTACACATTTTTATATTAATAGCACTATACTTACGAACATACGCTATGTCTGATCAGTATTCCGGGATATTTGAAGGATATCATCTGAAGACACTGTAGGGTGCATTTCGTCATAATAGCAGAACGTAGGGCATGCAAAAAGTGTGCACAAAAAGTACCCCAGTTAACGAGCCATCAGTGATTGAGTACAGTTACCGCGGTATCTTATCGGCTTTCGACGAAACACACATACCTATTCGTGACCTTCGCAAACAATTGATACGTAGACCAGTCAATTGTACGTAATGATTAGTAATAATCTGCACTCGTTAGCGTTCGATTGGCAAAGTATTACCACAAAATACAAAAATAAGTTGAATGTGGAAATATCAAAGAAAAATTAATGTATTCACGTGCAGAATATGCGGACGTGGTGCATCACGCGAATGCGCGTCTTAGTCATCATTGCCGGAGTAGTTGGGGCTTTTGGTAAGGTCATTACCCCCATGTTTATGTATATCACTGAGTGGCTCATTCTGCTTTCTTTCTTGTATCTTCTTTTCCCTTAATTTTTCTGGAGTACATAGTGTATACTTTTCATTAGTTTTTTAATGACGCTTGAACCAAAAGATTATTTTGATAAAATTGGTTACATACTAGGGTGAATTGAAAAGTCCCCGGCCTGACACATAGATGGCGGCACCAAAACTAAATCCATATGATTTTCAGTTAGTCCTAACCTTCAAAAGACGCGTCTATAAATTTGACGGCTGTCGGATCATTAGTTTGTGAATTATAGCATTTTTAGTGAAGCAACTTTTGTTATTGTGAAAAAAATGGATAAAAAGGAATTTCGCGTGTTGATAAAATATTGCTTTTTGAAGGGAAAAAATACAGTTGAAGCAAAAACTTGGCTTGATAACGAATTTCCGGACACTGCCCCAGGAAAATCAACCATCAAGGATTGGTATGCTAAGTTTAGACGTGGTGAAATGAGCACCGAAGACGGTGAACGCAGTGGACGCCCAAAAGAGGCTGTTACGGACGAAAACATTAAAAAAATCCACAAAATGATTTTGAATGACCGTAAATTGAAATTGAATGAAATAGCAGACACTCTACAGATATCAACGGAACGTATACATCACATCATTCACGAATATTTGGGTATGAGAAAGCTCTGTGCAAAGTGGGTGCCGCGCGAGCTCACTTTTGACCAAAAACAACGACGAGTTGATGATTCAGAGCAGTGTTTGAAGATGATCACGCGTAATAAACCCGAGTTTTTGCGTCGATATGTGACAATGGATGAAACATGGCTCCATCATTTCACTCCGAAGTCCAATCGACAGTCATCGGAGTGGACTGCACACGATGAACCCGCTCCAAAGCGTGCAAAAACGCAACAGTCGGCTGGCAAGGTTATGGCGTCTGTATTTTGGGATGCGCGTGGAATAATTTTCATTGACTACCTTGAAAAAGGAAGGACCATCAACAGCGACTATTACATAGCGTTATTGGACCGTTTGAAGGACGAAATCGCCGAGAAACGACCGCATTTGCAGAAAAAGAAAGTCCTGCTTCACCAAGACAATGCACCGTCTCACAAGTCAGTGAAAACGATGGCAAAAATTCATGAATTGGGCTTCGAATTGCTTCCGCATCCACCGTATTCTCCAGATCTGGCCCCCAGCGACTACTTCCTGTTCTCAGATCTCAAAAGAATGCTCGTTGGGAAAAAATTTTCGTCGAATAAAGAGGTGATCGCCGAAACTGAGGCCTATTTTGAAGCAAAGGACAAATCGTACTACAAAAATGGTATCGAAAAGTTAGAGGATCGCTATAATCAGTGTATCACCCTTGAAGGGAATTATGTTGAATAAAAAAAACGAATTTTGCAAAAAAAATGTGTTTTACTATTTTAGGCCGGGGACTTTTCAATTGACCTGTTATAGTGATTTTTATTCCCCTTTTTTGGATAGAAATAGTTTTAATGTTATAATAAAGAAGCACACACAGGCACGTGTAACAATTAATTCATGAAAGAAGAGTCGTTAAACTATACAGTTTATTTTTAACATAGAAAAGTTGAATAAATCCCTACAATGAATATGACAAAAAGTAACCTTCTCATTTAAGGAAAAGATTTAACAGGCTGTACAAGTATTTACATATATATGTAGTTTAGAATTTCACAAAAATACTCGTCAAGAAAATTCAGTGTTCATCTTGTTCGTTTTCGTTCAACCACGATTATTAATACAGGCCAAATGAGACAAAAGTTAAAGAATTTCCGATTCGTCGACGAAATCGAAGCGTTGGCATGCTGCATCGCAGCAGGCTGTTCTTCTGAAAACAAAGAAGTAAAAACGATAAGAAACTAATAAAGGAACTTATTAAATTCTAAAGAAAATTGAGATCTTGGTCAACAATTTATCGAAATTAACAGATGTGGGTCGTGTTTTCGTACTTATTAGTTGCCGTTCTCATCAGCTATACGGTACGCTGATTCGATAAATCGCTGGCCAAACTGAAGTTGTGCCATAGAAAGTAAGATGATATAATATAAAGGTATATTGCAGTATATCGCCATCTATTGATATTCACAACTAACTGCATTTCATGTGTTTGACAAGGGCCTAACGAAGTATCTACTTGACAAACTGAATCTACGACCCAGCTTATATTACGTAGGTACCTAACAGACACGCAAATCAGATTAATAAACAACATTAAACCTTAGACCAGCAATTTAGCGAAGTTAAATATAATATTCTCATTGCATTTACCATGAACACATCATACTCGTTTCCTCTTTTATAGGTGTAGTTCTAAAAAGATACCTAGTAAGAAAGTCATGAAATAAAAAATAACGATTAGATAATTTTTAAATTTATTAACTTATTAATAATTCTTTTGCAAGGACAATTCGTTTTCTTTTAACTAAATTTTACAAACTGAAAGAAGGTAGGGACGTCATTACGTGCACGATAGTCATGACAGAGCCCAGGGCTCACTTCTCATTACGACTATGAATTTCCATACTATGCTGGCTTCGCAGTGTTTGGGGGGTGCCGAGAGTGAGATAGTGATGATGGAGGGAGAAATTCGAGGAGTTTGGAGGAATCGTTTACTGGCAGTTAAACAGTATTGTAATGTTCGTGGGTTTAACAAAATTAACTTCTAAGACTGATAACGACAAAAACTATTTATTTACATTAATTATTAAAGAACTTAAAAACAGTATTAAATTATTACTAAACTTAGGTTATGAATTATTCTATTTATTTACACTACTGTTGATATATCACTATTCACTGCGCTATTTATTTCACTGCTATCACTGTCAATTTATTTCTCGATTCACTTCTGCAACGGTCAATTTATTTCTTCCCCTTTCGGCGATCGTCTCTTCCTTTAAATACTCTATTGTTTACTTTCGGGAACCTTCTCGAAACATCCGGATAGTGTATTTTTTCTTTGAACTGTTTAACTGCTTTCGAAGAACGCAGGTACGGCATACACATTTACAAATACGGCGCACATGAAGAAAGGCTAGTTGCGCACACATGTGCCCGATCACACACAAACACACTCGTGCTCGCTACAGTATGAATAATGTGTGTCCGCCTGTAAACTTTCGTATAAATCTTATATATGAACAGCCCTTAAGGTTTATATAATTAAATCGTTGTGTTCTATAACATCATATTGTTATTTAATACAGTTATCTGTGAAAGAATCCACTTCATTTTTATTTAATACCCCAAGAAGAAAATCAACGATGATAGCTCAGAAATCATAATTATTTTTTTTTTCACGTGTGTTTCTATAAGGGAACCTGGGAAGGGTTGATTACCCACTTCGATTTTAAATTGTATTTTTTTTATTCTTTAAGTATTGGAAAACTTTTCATGCTAAACGTTTCAGAAATTGTCTATCCATTGATAGTTTGAATAAGGAGTAGATTGTGTCGACAAGAATTTACTTAATTCTTATTTTATTGTGCTGTACCTACCACCTCCTGCACGGCTGTCTACTTATTTCAGAAACACTCTATAGATTTTACATACAAGATAGTGAGATCTCAAGGCAGTCATTGGCTCATTTTTTGATCCAGCTCATTAGTTTTCTTCGAAATTGTTTTCTTGGTGCCATTATATATGATTATATTAAGCAATCGATTTTAAAGCTTCGTGATAGGTTCAGTTAACACAACTAGGTAATCCATAATTAACAATGTTAGAGAATAGAGTAGGATCTTCATTGACATAATGCTATTTGATTTATGAAAAACAATTAGTAAATATTCACGGCGCTTAACGAAGCCTTCAACGTGTGTATGTTCAATCGCACATTTTCATCGAATATAATACCCAAGTAAGTCGCACTGCTCAGTCTAGATAATTGGCTGCCGTCAACGTATGTACATACATCTAGTTGGCCTAGTTGTAATTAGTATACGAGATATACAGCGATTTTCCAGCATTAAGTGTCAGCTGAATGACTTGCATCCAAGGTGAGATTACAGTCTGATATGTATTTATCATTTTTTCAACTAATCTCCATTCAGCACCCTAAACAACAATTATTAGTGTGCCACCGGTAAATGAAAGAACAACACCTGGTAAAAATCTCTAATAATAAATTAAAAAGAATAAGGAACCGAGGATGATACCTTGGGGCATTCTATGTTAATATTCAAAGAGCCATTAAGGGTATCATTCAATTTTACGAAATGTTTTCTGATAAGTTGGTAAGATTGAAGCAATTCTAAGGCGTTTTCCCTTATTCCTAGCTTTTCTATTTTATTGTCTAGGATACTACAGTCAACAGTATCAAAAACTTTTCATAAATCGATGAAGGCTGCTATGAATACATTAGCTTTTCAAATATTTTCATAATATTTGGAACAATTGAAACTGGACAGTAGTTGAACAAAGAAATTCGAAGTCGTCAGTATTCTATTGAAACTGCTAGCGCGTCGCAGACGATTTCGACAGAACACATACCAACTCAACCTGCTGCCTTAACACAGCGCGTTTTATGAAATCCTACAAATGGCGCGGTAAGCGCCATCTGTAGTATAATGCTACATTTAGTGGAGAATTCATTATGCTCAACAAAGTCTATTTAAATAGATGGATATCTACTTGGTGAACTGAATCTATCGGGTTGTTCGGAAAGTCATTTCGTTTTTTCCCGATTGAATTGTATTATTTTGCACCCAAGTTCACATTTAAGCCGTATAATTTTTATATGCTTTGAGAACTCATATAGCAAGGCTTGTGTGTGGAAAATTCCAATTAATTCTACGCAGTAGTTTTTGGTTGGTGCCCTTTTAAATATGGAGAGCGATAAGCAGCATTTTCGACATATCTTACTGTTTTACTACAGAAAGGGTAAAAATGCTGTTCAAGCCAGAAAGAAATTGACTGATGTGTATGGAGAAGGTGTGTTCACAGTACGCCAGTGCCAGAACTGGTTCGCTAAATTTCGATCCGGCAATTTTGATGTCGAAGATGCACCACGTTCGGGAAGGCCGGTTGAAGCTGATAAAGACGCGATAAAGACATTAGTTGATGTGAACCGGCGAATAACAACACGTGAGATCGGATTGAGGTTAAATTTATCAAATTCAACAGTTTATGACCACTTGAAAATGATCCGTTTTTGAAGCGCATCATCACTGGGGACGAAAAATGGGTTGTATACAACAACGTCAAACGCAAGAGGTCATGGAACAAAAAAGATGAACCGGCTCAAACCATTTCCAAAGCTGATATTAACCAAAAAAAAGGTGATGCTATCTGTTTGGTGGGATTTTAAAGGAATCGTTTTTTTTGATCTTTTACCGGAAAACCAACGATTAATTCGGAAGTCTACTGTCATCAGCTGGACAAACTGAATGATGCACTTCAATAGAAAAGGTCAGAACTAATCAGCAGGAAAGGTGTAGTGTTTCACAAAGACAACGCGAGACCTCACACAAGTTTGGTCACTCTCCAAAAGCTTTTACAGCTTGAATGGGATACAATGCTACACCCACCATATTCTCCAGACCTGGCACCATCGGATTATTATTTGTTCCGGTCAGTTCAAAATTTTTTAGACGGTAAAACCTTCACCTCAAATGAGGAGGTCAAAAACCTCCTCGATCAGTTTTTTGCCAGCAAAGACCAAAAATTTTATGAGCGTGGAATTATGCTACTACCAGAAAGATGGCAAAAGGTGTTGGACCAGAACGGTCAATATATAATTTAATAAAGTATTTGTTTATTATAAGAAAACTGTCTTTCATTTCCACAACCAAAAACGAAATGACTTTCCGAACAACCCTATACATGATAGGTACGTTACCAAAATCGAACAAAGAAATTCGAAGTGGACAGTAGTTGATTGGGTATTTTTTATTGCCCTTTTTGTATACTAGTAGTACGATTGTGGGTTGAAGTTGGTCTGATCAGTGTCTCTCATATACATACTTGGTGTCGATTCCTCCAAACCCCTAGTTAATATATTTATATAAACAGTTGAATAGTTCCGTTCTGTCTGTAATAGTTCTGTCATGCACCTCTAAGTACTAAGCTTTCTACTGTACAAATTACCATAATTATTTTGAATTACCATTTAGTCCCTTAGTTGTCCACTCTTTTCTTTGATTCTTCCTCAAGATAGGGCAAATAGGAAGCTTTACTTACCTGCTACCCCAGTAGCACACGACATTGGCCCAATATTTATTCTATATTGGTACAATATTGTATATGGGCACAATATTGGCAATTTATAGCCAATATTGGTAATATATAGGACATATACTGTTTTCCTTTATTTTAATACAATGTTTATCCGATATTTATCCAATATTAATAAAAGATATTTGACAATAACTTTTATNTTTAGTCCCTTAGTTGTCCACTCTTTTCTTTGATTCTTCCTCAAGATAGGGCAAATAGGAAGCTTTACTTACCTGCTATATTGTGATCGTTATTAAAGGTCGTATTACTTAGTTCATCAATACCTTCAGTTACCAAATATATACTATCAAGTAAATTCATCCAATTGAATGTATTAGCTCCTTCGGAAGATTTCTTATAGTTTATTATTTTACGGACTAGATTCGGGTTAGCATTCTTTAAGAACGGTAGGTACACTTCTTTGAATCAACAGCGAGTAATTTCTTGTTGTTGCTGTTAACATAAGTCTAGTTATTGGGGAAAAGTTAGGATAGTATCCCTTTTCCATCATATTGTTTATTCTGAGATCACCCACTGAGAGTTCAAGTGTATTTATATTCAAATTGGTAACTACATAAATAATTACTCAATTGTTACAATTGTTTCGACTAA